TGTAGAGGAATTGTTAGAGAAACAGCTAATCCAGCACAGTCTGAGCCCGTGTGCAGTTCCGGCATTGTTGGTACCTAAGAAAGACGGAAGTTGGCGCATGTGTGTAGATAGCAGGGCAGTGAACAAGATTACTGTTACATTCCGGTTTCCTATGCCAAGGATAGAAGAGATGTTGGAAAGGTTAGCAGGGTCCCAAATTTTCTCTAAATTGGACCTACGAACCGGGTATCATCAGATAAGGATCAGGCCCGGAGACGAATGGAAGACAGCGTTTAAAACGCGAGAAGGACTATATGAGTGGCGTGTAATGCCATTCGGATTGTGTAATGCTCCAACAACCTTCATGAGGTTAATGAACGAAGTCCTCAGACCGTTTTTGAACAAAATTTGTGTGGCATACTTCGATGATGTGCTAGTATTTAGTTCTAACTTGGAAGAACATCTGCAGCACTTAGAACAGATATTCGAAACATTCCGACAACACAAATTGTATTTAAATTTATCAAAGTGTGAATTTGCCACGGAGGCTGTATATTTCCTAGGATTTAAAATTTCAACGGCGGGAGTTTGTGCAGATCCTAGAAAAGTGGAGGCCATAGTCGGGTGGCCCACGCCCAAATCCTTCACAGACATAAGAAGCTTCCACGGTTTGGCGAATTTTTACAGGAAGTTTATAAAGGGCTTTAGTGTTATTCTTGCTCCTTTAACAGATGTGTTGAAACAGAAGCAATTCATGTGGGGAAGTGATCAAGAAGCTAGTTTTGAAGCAATAAAATCAGCTGTCTCTTTTGCTCCGGTATTAGCTTTGCCGAACTTTAACAAACCATTCTCTGTGGAGACGGATGCTTCTACGACGGGTATTGGGGCTGTTTTAGCTCAAGAGGGCAGACCCATCGAATTTTTTAGTGAGAAATTATGCCCAGCACGGCATCGATGGTCTGTTTACGAATAGGAACTGTATGCGGTAATTCGAGCTTTAAAACAGTGGGAGCATTACTTGCTGCACCAGGACTTCATTTTATGTAGTGATCATAAGGCACTACAATATATTAACACCCAAAAAAATATCAATCGTATGCATGCGCGATGGATATTGTTTTTACAGAAATTTATATTTCTGTTAAAGCACAAGAGTGGCGCCCAAAATCGGGTTGCCGATGCACTAAGTCGCTGTTCCGCCCTTATCACCCAGCTGTAGACAGAGTTTTCTGGATTAGAACTGCTTCAAGATTTATACCCGGATGACAAAGACTTCAGTCAGCATTGGCTTTAGTGTGTTCACAAGGAGTCCAGCGATGATTACAACTTGAGGCATGGGTTCTTGTTTAAGGGCAACCTTCTTTGCATACCGCAATCATCATGGAGGCAGCGAATAATTCAAGAAGTTCACAAAGGAGGGTTAGCTGCTCATGCGGGACGGGACAAAACGTTGGATCAGCTACAAAGAAAATTCTACTGGCCACACATGAGAAGAGATGTCAGCAAATATGTGGATCGCTGCTCGATCTGTCAAATGTATAAAGGAGGAGGACAGAATACTGGACTTTATCAGCCGTTACCAGTACCCAAATCTATTTGGGAAGATTTGAGCCTGGATTTCATTCTCGGATTACCCCGCACCAAGCGAGGAAACGACTCGATCATGGTCGTTGTGGACCGCTTCTCCAAAATGTCTCATTTTGTTGCCTGTAAGAAAACTTTTGATGCACAGAATATCGCTAAACTATTTTTTAGGGAGATCGTCAGACTTCATGGAGTACCCCGAAGCCTCACCTCCGATCGGGATGTGAAATTTATCAGTCACTTTTGGCGTGAGCTATATATGGAAGAGGTTCAAGACGCAAGTTCAACTGAGTTCGTCATATCATCCCCAAACGGATGGGCAAACAGAAGTCGTTAATAGAACTTTGGGAAACCTTTTGCGCTGCTTAGTACAAGAGCAACCAACTCTATGGGATGAAGTGCTATGCCAAGTAGAATTCGCATTCAACTCCATGAAGAACCGATCTACGGGTATCTCCATTTGATATTGTGTACACTAAAACACCAAATACTGTGTTAGATGTTGCAGCAATACCGAACTGTAAGAGCAAGGCCGCAGCTGCGATGGTAGATCAATTTGCGAAATTACTAGCCAAGGTGCGCCAAGCTGGAAGAATCAAATGCCAAATACAAACGGGATGCGGATTGTCATAAAAGAAGGCAGATATTCAAACCGGGTGAACTTGTGTGGGTGCGGATGAAGAAAGAAAGATTGCCAACTGGGGCGTACAGCAAACTCGGTCAAAGGAAATTTGGCCCATTTCCAGTCCTTCGTCGCATTAACGATAATGCCTATATCATTCAATTACCTGCGGATTCAACACGCCAAATACCTTCAACATTGCAGATTTATACCCCTATCATCCAAATGAGGATAACTCGGTTGAACCAACGCTGGTCTGTAACTTCTTGGAGAGGGGACGTATGATGCGGAGCATCGTTGATATGGTGATATGCAGGAACATTTTACCAAGCCATGTGCATTGGCTGTTAGGGACGTTCTCAACTTTTCCTTGCTTTACTTTATTTCTATTTTTAGGCCGTTGGCACATGAGCCAACTCTAGTCTCCTTTTACAGTTATAGTACGTCGTGAGCTTCTATATTACCACTGGAATAGCCGTGGTATAGCAGTTTTTGCATTTTAATAAAGTTTCAAGTAGTTCTGCTATTGTTCCATTGCCTAGCAATTTCCTGTGTTTTTCCAGCTAACATTTTCTATGCAGATTACCTACATCAATTGTCTTTACTCTCATATATATTGCGAGTCATTGATCTCTAAAATATATACATATAAAAACTTTTGAACATTAATTTCCATCTATAATTTACTATTTATATAATATAGGATTACTAAACCCTTGACAAAAAGTGAATGCCACGACAAATCTTGCTAGACACAATGACTCGCTTGGAAGGGAACTTTTATTTGGTCAGGACACCTGACATAGCTTTACATCCGGACGTCAATAAAATGTCGTCATGTGCTCTTACTCTTTATCGCGCAGCCCGACGACCAGGCCCGAACCGGAACCCGGTGTTGCTATGTATTAGCTGATTTGTGTAGACCAGGGTATTGCTAAGTATTGCTCCGTATTGCTCGGTAACGAGAAATACTATTCTGTCAAGACCAATACCTAGCCATCAATTTCATTACCAATGATCTCTCCCTCGTCACCGATGATGGGATTTCAACTGATAGGGCACGGGTGCGAATGGCATTTTCGATATTATTTAAAATTTTTAATAGCGTATAAATAATAAAATTAAAGTTTAATACATAAGGTAAGTTCTACATTTTATTGTGCTGTGTATGCAAATTTCCCTTATTATTATTGATTGTTTATTAAAACTATAGCCTACACCATCACCATGCTTATAGAATCGTCCTTCACAACATCATAGACAAGCCGACCAGAATGTGCTTAGGGCTGCATGCAAACCAAACGTTCGATGAGCTACTAGTTGTTTGGTTCAATTAAAGCTCGTTTGTGAGAACAATTATTAGGTCCTCCGACCGGACGTAGAGGAACGTCCGGTTGGCACTAAAATCCCGCCAAAAAACTCAGTATTTGCTCGGTATTGTTAGATATTATTTGGTAATAACGAGGAATACTGCTCTGTGAAGACAAATACCGAGCTATACCGAGCAATACTGAGTTTTTCCTAGAAAAAACTCGGTATTTTTTTGTCTAACTCGGTATTGCTCGGTATAACTCGGTATTGGATCTTCACATGATGGTATTCCTCGTTATTGTTTGGTATTGCTCGGTATTTCTCGTTTTTTGGCACGATTTTAGCTCCGACCGGACGTAGCTCTACATCTAGTCGGAGGACCTAATAATTGTTCCGTTTGTGATTGTTTAACTAACTAAACAATTAAACTTGAACAACATTTTTAATACTCGATCCTTAAATAAACAAGCTTAACCACTAATTGTTTGGTTCATTTATATTCACGAACAACATCATTTGAAGCTTGTGAACAAAATCGATATTAAGCTTGATTCGTGCTTGATTTAGAACTCGTGAATAATCTTGATAAATATATTCATATATATTTATCATATTTTCATTTTAAATAGACAATTGCTTTTATTTTAAATTTAATTTTATTTTATTTTATACATTCAATAGAATGCATTTGTTCATGAACAAAAAACATTTCACTACTAGATTGTTTATTTAAGATGTTTATGAACAAATATAAAATGAATCATAGTTCGTTTGTTCATGAACGAGGTCATTTGGAAGCTCGAAAATACTAGTTACGTATATATTCATGATCTTGCTCATTTGATAGCTCAAGAAAACTCATTAGATTTGTTCATGAACGTGATTGTTTGATTGTGTAAAAAATTGACTAAATATATTCACGAGCATAGCTCGTTAAGGCTTGTTTGTTTATAGCTCGATAAGAACTAAATGAACCGAATATGAACCAAACATGAACACCATTAATTTAAACGAACCAAACATCAACAAATAATAAAGCTCGAATCAAACACGAGCCGAACTTGAACAAGCTAATATTCAACAAACTCAAATATGAACACTCACATACTCGGCTCGATTCGGTTCGTTTGCAGCCCTAAATGTGCTACATCAGCGAAATCGAGCCATGATACAGAGCAATGACTGAGCTACGTTACTGAGAGCACAGGGTGACGTTGTGCATTATGATTGATCTCTAAACAGCATTCAACATCGCACAGAATAATTTTTCCAGATCAAGACCCATCCAAGCAAATTTTGTAGCTTTGTCGCCCAAATAAATCTTATGAGCAGCCTGTTCCAACTCCTGGCCTTCAGGCAAGTTGGACTGAAATATTGCCTGATTCTCAACCTAGTTCGAAGCCATTCAAAATAGGCTACTTGCCTTTTAAATTCATTTAGGCAAATTTCCCAAAGCTCGACAAAAACAACCATATTATTAGACATTCACATATACAACTAATAATTTCTCCAACTTGACGGACCAGAATATTCAATTTCTTTTTTTAGAATTCCTCATAAATGAACATGTCCTGACAGCATAAAATCTGAAGCAATATCAGCTTATCAATAAAAAAAAACAAGAGAAAGCCATGGCATCCATGGGATCTTATCAGGTTGAAAGCATACAGTGGAGTATATTTTTTAACATACTTCATCATATTAGGAAACATAAGTTGCACAGCCACAGCATCAAGGCTGCTTTAACCAATCAGCAACTTGTTATCCTCCATGAAAGAGTATGTAGGGACTTCCAGATTGTAAGGGGCTGGGCCCTTCCGAATCCTACCAGAAACATCATAGTGTGATCCATGGCAAGGACAGAACCATCCACCATAGTCGCCGGCGTTTGGCAAAGGAATGCAGCCCAGATGAGTACAGACGCCAACGACAATAAGCCACTCGGGGTTCTTTACTCTGGCGGCATCGTCCTGGGGATCCCGAAGGGAATTCACATCTACACTGTTAGCCAGTTTGATATCGTTCTCGGTTCGACGTCTTATGAAAACCGGCTTTCCACGCCATTTCACAGTTACTGTTGAACCCGGCTCGATGTTGGAGAGGTCGACTTCCAGAGAAGCTAAGGCAAGGACATCCTTACTGGCAGACATGCTTAGCACGAATTTCAGGATGAATAGGCGAAGCAACGACGCGTACACAAATCGTCCGCCGGTTAGGACGAAATAGGCAAAAGCTCGCTTGCTGGGATCTCCGGGCGGGTATCGTTCATGATTATGCTCGTCATAGATGATCTTTGAAGTTGGGTTCTTCAGAGCAGTGATGGTTGGAGGAAGATCAGATAGCCCCACATCTTGATGTCTGGGGACTAACGACTCAGTTGAGAACCCTGGAGGAAGGCTCAAGAACAGAAGAGAATGAGTAGTTGCAGTGCAAATATGTTTCAGAAGGCAGGCAAAAGAATTTTCACCTGTAGCAGCTAAGTTTAGCAAAAAACAGTCATCGAGAAAACTAGCAATTCATGATTGCGTAAATGTCTAAAATGGTCCTTGGATTTTTAGGTGTGTCAGTTGCTCAATTTTAATCCCAGAATTTTTTTAAGTTCAATTTAGTCCCTCCACACTAAATTTAAGCCAAATTGGTCCTACCACCATTTTTTTTTTGTTGCTTTGGATTGAAAGTATTGGAGGGAAGTTTCCATGAAGACATTTGGGATTTTTGGGGTCAATCTCACTGATAACATCAGCCAAAAGTTAAGAGATTGATCCGAAAAAGTCTAATGTCCTCATGAAAAACTTTTTTTTCAATGATTTTCATCCAACAAAAAAGGCAAAGTGACAGAAGAACCAAAATGGCTTAAGTTTGATGAGTTCAGGGCACAAATTGAAAACTTATAAAAATTTGGGATTAAAGTAAAAATACCTAAAATATTTATGGACCATTTTGATCATGCGCTCAAACATGATTATATCAAACAAAATCAAACAATCAACAGAAGGAAACTTGCTCAACATAGATCTCTTTGATTAAAAGCTATGCCTAAGCCAAAATACAATACCAAAGGACAATCAGGAAAATCTTTGACAAATGCATAAGAGATTGTGAATTGCACAGCCAAACAGAAAAAGAATATAAGAAAATCATTATTCATTTTTAAATGATTTTAAACTTACACTTCCCTGTAACATATCGATATGAAATGAGATGTTAATATACTGACAAAGACGAGCATGCTATCTTTAAGTTTGCATCACAGTACGTACATATGGATGATATAACATTAGGAAAGATTAAATGAAGACCAATATTGACAAACAGGGACATCAACATACAGGAAAACAAACAGTGAATGTTTACAGTCATACAGAGTCCATCCAAATCCAGTGCATCCTCTTATCAATAAAATCCTACATAATTCACTTTTAAATGAAGCTAAAATTACACTTCCACAAAGCAATACATATGAAAAAAGATGTTACTAAATTGAACGAGACAGCATCCTATCATCATTAGATCATATAACTTATAAATGAATTAAATGAAGACCAGTATTGAGAAAAGGAGGCATATCAACACATTCTACAAAAAAAAAGTAAATGCTTACTATATCATTTCAGAAGCAAGGCATGCTATGATTAATAATCCTACATAACTCAATATATAGCAAAAGAAGGCTGAAGGTATAAATCAACGTAACATAGAATGCTTTAGATTCCACAATCAAATCAAATATGACAATGGATGTGATCATTAAAGATATCAACTATCACGTAGGGACTCAATTTCCTCTAATTTCCTAAAATTTTCTCCCTACTCAAACTATTGTTGCTATTTGTCTAATCTACCACCAAAAGTTTTTTTTTTTTTTAAATGAAAATATTCCTCATCGTCCACTGCCACCAAAAGTTCCAAATAATATGAACATTCAAATCAGGTTTACCTTTTATCACTTTAAGGATTCATGATTTTATAATCAATCAATTTATCTTTACGGGAAATAATATTTTATTACTTATTGAAATATGCAAGTGAATATCTAAGTTACTAATTTTTACGTCCATCTCACAGCATTTAATTCAATTAATAAACGATGAACAAATAAATTACCAGTAACATTATAATTAAATGGTAATAAATCCTTTTCAGAAGATTCATACTTCTAGTTCTCAAATTTATTCCACCTCTCATGCTCCATCACTTTGTGCTCCACTTGGGAAGAGAAGTTAATCCATATAAAATGTCGGAAGATTCTTGCATATTTTTGCTGGGTATATTCAATAGATGATAAACCTAAAAAATGCTCCCACCATCCCAATTTCAAAACTTCACTGATGTGCTCATGACATTGTCACCCTCAATGAGATATATTCAAATCATCCATCCAAGGCATCATCAGTGGTAGCTATCACTGGCCATCAATACTCATTTGGCATCATCAGTGGTAAGCTTATAGGTAGTATCAGTTATGGGAGAGTGCGGTCTCCATTGCGAGCATTTCAAATGAAAATAAATAGCTCTCATGAAGTTTATAATATTGTTATTTATTTAACTCATTTGAGAAATTTCTCTCTACAATCAGTAGAGCTATAAAGAATTTCCTCATATCCGACGATGCTTAATGTAGGTGATCGTTTTACCTGTGGCGGTAGAGATGATGGTCATATCACATACAACAATAGAGATTGTGCAGTCATCATGCTTTGAAGATCAAACGCACTTGTCAGCTATTCACAATCATCCACAACCACTAAAGCTATCACCGCATACAACCATATTAGCACATGTCCGTTGTAATTTGAAGATAAGACGTTATTAAAGATTATAACAAGCAATATGTTGCATATATGCCAATACCATAAAGACACCAATGAACAATCTAGGAGCCTCTAGTGCCACTTATTCTAGAGGCATCTTGTGTTGAAGTCACTCCAATTGATTAGAGGTAGACCACTCTTATACTTATTTTTCATTAAAAAAATATATCTTTATAATTGAGCTAGGCTCCTTAATTTTTTCACCTCAAAAAATCACTACATAAAAAATCTTATCCCTTAGTATGTGAAGCTCAAAGCTGCAGAAAAGATGTCCTCAAATTTCATTAGATCCTTAAAGCCTCTTAATCATGAAATAATTTGACAATATTTGTGAGAAACATTCACACATTGATTGACTAACAATCAACAATTATTTACATGCATAACCCTAAATAACCTAGATCAATCAATATTTTTTTGCATCCACTTCAACTATCTTATGAGTTTTCCTTCTCCATCTAATGACGAGTACAACAACAACATCAAGCTTTTGTCCCACTACGTGGGGTCAGCTACATGAATCCTTTTTCACCATTGTATCATGTTAAAAGTCAAATTCTCGTTTAAATCTAATAAAGAAAGATAATTCCTAGTATTTTCTAACCAATTGTTTTTAGGTCTACCTCTACCCTTCTTAACATAAGTCAAATCTAATACCTCAACTTTTCTAACCGAGTCAACGGAAGGCCTCTGTTTAATGTGACCAAACCATCTAAGGCAACTCTCTCTAATCTTATCTTCCACTCGTGAGCCAACTTGGCTCACTTACACCCCTAACCAAGAATAACTACAACTAATCTTGAGAATGCTTCTAAAACACGAGGGAGAAAAGAATAGCAAAAATACAACCTTCATTGTGATTTAAATGCTTTTGCGTTTACATGCTAACAAATCTAAAGAATTTTTCGAAATTCATTTATAAGGCCTCCAACACAAGAAAATTTTTAGAGTCTCTAGTCCAAGGTTGTTTTGCTTATGTAATACCTCTGAATTGTGTACATCAATTTATGTGAAAATATTCTTAATTTATTATAATAGAACTATAAAATATAGATAGCTATTGCAAAACTAACCCGTTAGCTTCAATGCAAAATGACATTTACACAAAAACGTATTAAGAATGAAAGAAAAGCCAATGTGAAGGAGTGGAAGCATCGAACTTCACCTACCAAATGAAATTTTAACATTCCAATTACTCAAGAAAATCAATATATTCCAAGTATCCAAGTCCCTCCATCATGGAGTAGGCGCAGTTACATAGACTCACCTCAATTAAAGGTGATATGTGCAACATACATAGCACAATATTGATCAACGACAATTCCAAGCATGACCCAATAAGCTTTAGTTATACCTCCAAGGCTAAGGTAATACAGTTGTTTAAATAGCCTCATCCCCTATGTTCATCAATAATGGTATGAGCTTTAGCCCGCTTCATAGTTATCCTCCAAAGAATACTTCTGCTTGAAGCAATATCATCATTTAAGCGGCTATATGGCCTGCATCTTTAAATACAAATTTAGCGTATACTCCTCAATCAATCATAAGTCAGCCATATCATCCACATACAGACCTAACATTCACTTAGTTATCACATCAATGCTACTTCAATATCATATGCCCTACTCAAGTCAGGAAGACTTCATCAATAAGTCAAAAGACAAGGGGTGTCCCATATAATATCCAAATTACGATACTATAAAGGATATCAACTCTTTTAAAGAAGGAAAAAAAAAAGCTCAACCTGGTTGCATTAGTTTCAAGGAAAACTCAAACTGCAACAACAAGCATGGAAGGGGAAAAGGCAGCTTCACTTTATTTGAAAGAATCTCAAGAATAAAAGTATGAATAATCCAAACTTCATTTTGGTAACTTGATGGCGTAGTGTTGGATAGGGTCCTCAATTCTCGCTAATAGTTCTTAAGATTAGCTTATATGAATTAGTGTAAATAAAATTGAAGTGTAAGCATAGTCTTCATTCATACTTCTCAACGACAAATGATGCACCATAGCGCAAAGCTTCAAGCACTAGCGTGTCATTTTAAACATGACGCACAATCATCATGATCGCAGGTGTATGAACCTTTGATAAATCAAAGCCTCAAGGAACCTTCATAATGTTGTGGATTGCCTTTGAAGTCACAATCATCACAATCAAAGCCTATAGGAATCATCTTAATATTGTAGGTTGCCTCTGAACGCCATAGTTGCCTCCAACATCATAATTGACGCATGGAGGAACCTTCGATTGAACCGATCAAAGCCTAGGAACCACCGTGACCACGGATTCAAGCTAGCACTTCTCAATCAAACCCTGCATGCATGACTCCCTCTTCCGAAATCTTTAGCGTGCATGCCAACTCTTCCATGCGGATGTGGGTCTGGATTTAGTGTTAGGGTTAGGTACTTTAATTTATTATATATATTAATTTATATAATAAATGACATTTTATTCAATTTTAATATAAATTATATTTTTGAAATTAAAATCCTTCAAAACAAAATTGTGAGAGCTATTTGTGTTGCAAGACAACCACTATTGTTTTTCATAACATAAATAGCGCACACTATTTTGAATTAGTGTGTTGTGCTAAGCATATAACACCATAGGTGAGTCGTACCATGCCACGCACCATGACACATTCTTTTGCATCATTGACATGTATTTCAAAATCTCCTAAAGAGGTCCAAAGGGGCATTTGATATTTGGATGTGATCATCACTAAAAATGTCCCCAAGGGAGCCCTGGAAGGTCACATATTCAAAGTCCCCGATACAATCATCCAGGTACAAAGCCTAGAGGGGCACCTAGTATTAGTTATGTTCCAAACAATAATTCCATAAGAGATAATCCTAAAAGTGAGCAACAATACAAAATTGTATAGATAAAATTTTCACTTGTACAAATAAGTAAAGCCTTCTAGAAGGTCAATGAGTGTTGAATAAGATCTTTATTGAAAGTTCACTACATAAGCTCCATGAACAAGCCCTAAATGGGCAAAGCAAGTCGACTAGGACTCATCATATTGAAAATCCTTAAAGAGCCTCTAACTTCTTGTGAGCAACTTTTAATGAGTGAAACTAGTGTGAGCAGGAATGTAGACAATGTCACTATTTATTCAAAGTCTTCGAGAAAAGTCACCGATAGAATAAGCCTCACGAAAGCAACTTTTGTTAGAGAGGATGCTAATTGATATTGATCCCCGAGATAGGCTCACTATTAAATAGGACCTAGAAAGAGCATGTGATGTAGAGGCAAAATCTGCTTCAGTTAAAACTAAAGGGACCATAAGGTTGGCTGTCTAAAACTTTATTACTTAACATCTTCAAAGAAAAAAGTTTGAAAAGGAGCTCAAAATCAGTGAGAGCATCTTGTCGAATAAAAAATATATTTTACTAGGAAAATTTTAGTCCTATAAAAGTCTAAAAGAGTTTGATCGATTTTGTCTCTCTCTCGGAACAATCATTCACTTTATGATTTTGATTGCATGCTTAGGACTCCTTCAAAGGAAGTGGTCAATGTCAAATCTCGTAATAGAATTCTTCCACAAATGCCTTTCATAATATTTTTCTCCCAGGCATAGAATACAAATCCTTTCCTATAAAATACTGATGATTTCAGCATTAAAACCTTTAGCATAAAAATATCTGAAGTAAAATAATCAGGATATTATCTCAAAAACTCCGCAAACCCTTTCCATGAGAGCGAGCAGTAATGCTATTTTGAAATTCAACTAATAAATCAGTTAATAACAAAAAACTTAGATTCTTACTCTCATTTTTCATGCAAGATAAAGAAAAAAAAAATCAAAACTATACGAAAACTTTATAGTTTCTGAATCAACTAGTCAAAACTTTAAATTTCATTAATTTTGCCAACATGTTTGACCAGGAAAATTCCTTCAAGTTGACTGGCAGAAAAATCATATTATGCGAAAAAAACACAAAACATGAACTTGTAAAGAAAACTACGAAAATTTGCTAACCAGAAATCTTGGGGTTTAAAAAGCAATGCCAACGAATAAATGAAGATTCATTTCAAAAAACAATTAAAAAACTAAAACAATTTAAGGTGTCACCAAAACACATCTTGAATGATGTACCCACTCCTTCAAGAATCTTGCTGGTTAACTTTCATAATTTTGATAAAAAAATGATTCAGCAAACAATCCTAAGGAGATGCACCATTGATTGTCAATAACGTGGCTAAATTCAATGATGTTTTGACTAGAATCGCAAATCATTGCTAATACTATAGTAACAAACGATTCTATAGGTAATGTAAAGTTATCTTGGAACTCAAGCGAACAAATGTCCATAATAGGGATAATTACTGGGATCATAAAAATACATATATAATTAAACACAAATTTTGATACAAAACATGTATCTCAATAATTCAGAAGAATTGAATTTATGACTTAATTTAACCAATTTGATTGAATCCACAAATAACAATATAACAACCCCAAACAAGATCAGAATCATCACATCAAGTTTTTAGACACCTAGATTGCTTGATAAAGGCCCCAAAGTCTTTGAACTGATAGAAGCATTTGGTTCGGGGAAAAAAACTAACCCTAATAGTGCACTTGGGGGTTACCACCCCATGGGTTTGCATCGCTGAAAGCAGCAAGTCGATGGTTTCTGATAGAACCCAAATGCACTCATTACCATCCAATACGTTCCAAAAGCTATTTTTCCTTTTGATAACCTTTTGCTTCTAGAGCCAATCATCTAAAAACTCTCATCATTGAGAAACAACTTTTTTTTTAATTTAAAACTGATGAGACATTATTTCTTATGCGAGACCATGGAGGTTGACCGCATGGGCTTGCATCATTGCAAGCAACAAATAGATGGTTTTGCTACAACCCAAGTGCACTCATTACTATGCAATATGTTACAAAAGCTATTTTGTCATTGATAATCTTTTGCTTCTATAACCAATCATCTAAAAATTCTCATCTCAGGGAAATGAGTTTTTTCATTTAAAACTGATGAGACATTATTGCTTATTTCAAGTAGGTTTGTTTATGAGGCAACAAACTTTTTTTAAAATATTCTCATCGTTTTGACAATCAAAATTTTAACCTATCACTGAAGATAAATAAGTAACATCCTCTCCTACAATATGATATATGATTTGAGACATCACCAATAGTGGCCTTCAATATCCACCAATATGGGTGTAAATGAGTTGAGTCGAGTATCTACCTAATAGAGCTCAGCTTATTTAGTTCTTACTAAGCTCGGGCTCAAGCTCAACTTGAGCCCGTTTACATAGCTCGAGCTCGACTAGTTAAAAATTTAAAAGCTCGAGCTTGGTTTGAATGCTCGAGCTCGTTTGGAAAGCTTGAGCTGGACTCAATTTTTAAGCTCAATTTCTTAATTTTAAATTAAAAAATTCAATTTTTTCAGAATTTTTATTTTTTAAAATATAATTAATTTAAAAATATTAAATATATAATATAATATTAATTTAAATTAATTTTAAATATATTTTAATTAATCACGCTGTTCAATGAGCTTTTGAGCTAAGCCAGGTTGAACTCAAGCTCAAGCTCATTTAATACGAGCTCAAGTATATGCTCGAGCTCGAACTCGTAGCTCGATAAGCTCGACTCACGAGCTCGTTAACAAGTCGAGCTAGAGCCAATTCAGCTCACTTACACCCCTAACCACCAACAAGTAGTTGTTACCGACAACTAGAGCCTTGGCTAGCCAATTGGGTCAACCTCAACCAACATTGTATGGTTATAATTTTATAATGAGAGGATGCAACCTCTCCTGACCTTTTTTGACAACTACAAAGAATATATTGGATAAGTTATAAAATATTGCTCATGAAGTCTAGAAAAAAATTCATTTTAATTGAATTCATATATTTTCTATACGAGTTAAAGAGATCATAAGAACTTTCTCATCTCTAATGGAGCATGTCTTTGATGACCATTTACTCCATAATAATGGTGTCAATCATCCGACATATGTTTGTAACAATTACATAATCAACAATCATTTAAAGACTAGAAAATGCTCGTTGCTCGTCCACATCCATTCTAGCAACACAATAGTTGTGCTGCCCATGACAAGCATGACAGCTTCTACATGCATTGCCCATCATTTGGAAACCATACAACATCCACTATTGCAACATGGCAATGCAACATATGCCAATGCTACTAGAAACAACTCTATTCATGATATCAAGGATGAAATCGACCTTGCCCTCATACAGTCCTACTATATTTAGCAAATGTGTGTAATATACAACCTTGGGGTCCTTAATAGTACCATTTCCAAACAATCCAAGAGGCATCATTTGCTGAAAACCCTCCAATTTCTTGAAGGTGGATGATAATTGTAGTAAGTTACTTCAAAATAGCATATCTATATTTTTAGGGTAGGCCCCATAGTTTTTCCCCTTTAGGAACTTGTATCACTTTTGTGTCATAGATATTATGAGCATCACGAGGATGGGATAGAGTATTATGGACTTTTTAACATGTAGACATCCAAAGTTTATATATAATTATAAATAGGTATCCTCTGGCATGCTATTGATCAATATGATTAGTGATTTCAGAATCAAAACATTTCTATCTCTTAATTGGCCGGCACTCTTTCTCTCCCCTCTTTCCCTGTGTCATCTCTCTTCTTTTTCTCTACTTAAACTGAGCAGATCTATATCCATCTTCTTATTCATCTTTTACTCTCATAACTTCTTCCCATCTTACCCGCAGCCTCCACCAAGCTCTTTCATATAGAAAGAAGGAGAAGTGATCCTCCTTCAACAATCCATCCCACGAAAATTAAGAAAAGAATTATAAATCTTCGTTTGAGACCGCAACTCCATAAGAAAATGGTAAAAATCAGCTATATTCATCTAATCGAACAAGCAATGCAAATATCATTCATATACAAAGACGAAATCCACATCTGAAATAAAATAAACCCTAACCTCTGTAAGCTCCAGCAAAATCACCTTTGGGAGCCAGACGCGGGGGTATTACCGCCGCCGGAGCCCAACCATCACCCGACTTGTCTCCTGGGCTTGGATTTCTCGTAACAGATAAGGCAGGGGATGCGCACGGCCTCCAAAATGCAGAAGATAACCTTCTTCCCGCGACTCTCAGCATATTTTGGCCGCTCCTCTTGCTCGATCGGATTTCGGGAGGAAGTCTAGGGTTTCTTTCTACCTAGGCGTCGAATGTTACAAAGGACGACAGCGTTTAGTTTAGTTCTATCGTCACGATCCATTATTCATAGGGCTGACCCACCCGAATCCGACCTGAAAAATTCGGGTTCGGATTGACCCGTTTAATAAACGGGTCGGGTTCGGGTTTTAAATTTGGACCCGTATAACAATCGGGTGGGGTTCGGGTTAACCCGGTAACCCGATTCCGACCCGAAAACAACCCGCGTCAATAAGGGTTTTAATTACGTCAAGCGGTCCATCGAGGCATGAGGCATCGAGCCGAGCGGATAGCTGAGTGAGGGATTTCTCATTTCTGAGTTAGGGTTTCTCTATCTCCGACTCCGAGACTCCAACTGTTCGACGCCGTTCTTCGACTCTCTCAGTCTCTCGCTTCTTGCCTTCCTCCACTCTCCAGGCCGTTCGGCGTTCGCACAATTTGAAATTTATTGTAATCACTAGTCAGTGAAGTAGTGAACTCATTACTCATGAATAATTTTGATTTCGTTTTTTTTAGAAGTATTTTGGCTGAGTTTTGGTTTATAATCGACTGATCTACTATTCTACATTATTTATACTCTTCCTTTATTTCACACTTTATCAATCTGGAAGTTAGGGTTTGCAGTTTTTGTAGATTAGGGTTTGCAGTTTGTTGTTTTTGTCATTTTGACATTTGGTTTTGTAGATTAGGGCTTGCAGTCCTATTGTTTATCATATTCTTGAGTTTTATAAATGTCTTTTGAGTCTTTTGGCATCTCATATGTCGGCATGCCGTCTGCGCCTCTGCGGGTTGCGACTCGGGAAATTTGCTTTTCATTTATCTTTTGCCATTATAGTGAATCAGTGATTACACAATACACAAATATAAATTGATGTTCTGAATTTGTTATTTATTAAGTTGTTAACTTGTTATGTTGGATTGTTGCCTTGTTGGACACTTGTAGGAGCCGGGTTTTGAGTCGTTACGATTTTTGACACCCCTGTATTAAGCTTGAAGAAGACAAAAACTTAGCCTATTATACTCAACAAACTTATTAAGCTAAAATATTATATCAATATATTATAATATAATATTTCTTACAATGAATTTAAAATATGTTAAATATTTTTAAGATTAATATAATACAAATTATTTATATATAATACATTAATACTAATTTTAAGATAAATTTTATAATTTTTAAACACTTTCAAATATTAATTAAATCAAAATATTTTGATACAACTTTTTCTATATATTAATGGACAAAAAGGATAGAAGAATGTGATATGCCTACACAACTACTCGATAGAATGACAATTTCTCATTGGATATGCTATTAATCCTTTTACATAGATAAATAACTATAATGTTATGGTGTGTAGGACTAATTAATGTGTGCGCTTTTATTGACTCCCACCAAGTCTTGAATTCATAATGGTCGGTTAATCAATAATGAATGAAAAAGAAAATAGAGAAATAAAGAGAGAAAGAGGATTCTTAGAGCAAGAAGCTTTGAAATTTCTATTAATTATACTTGATTGCACAATTGGTAGCATATATGGTTGTACAAAAACTAAGATAAAATACAATAATTATATAGCCCGATTGAAACGTACGATTTGATGAAGTCGTTTTCCATGTTTTTAAAAAATCATCAGCTTGGCATGTATTGATGGTTAGCTGAGTAGTTGATCAATAGTTTACTTTGAGAAGGTGTCATTCCTTGGAAAAATTATTAGGTGCAGAGTGCGCACCGTCCGCACAAGCGCTAGGTACCTAGTGGTACCCAGCGATACCCAGCAGTATCGAGTGCTGGTACCTAGCGCCGAACAATACTTGTGCGGACGGTTCACCTCGCACCTAATAATCTCTCTCCATTCCTTGAGTAGACTCCAAAGATGACTTTATGGATAATAGCTTATAGGGGCTACCGCATGTCATACTTGCCCAATAGAGATGGGTTCTTAGATCATAATCGTCTTCTTAAGGTGAATTCTCTTATAGATAAGTGAGTCACTTTTGAGTTGAGAGAAAGTTAATTGAGTTAACTTGGCTTGAATCGACTTGACTTATCTTGTATCGAATTTTCTGTATATTTGGATGTATATTTAATTTCTTAATTCACTTATATCATTAGATGTCTATTGCCAACAAAGTAAGAGGAAAAAAAATATTATCCACCAATTGTGACACCCAACACCTATACTGAAGAATTGTATATTTATCTCTTATTTAATCTTCCAGAGCTTCTATAATATCATCAATATAAAATCAGTCTAGTGGAAAAAAAATCTAATATACATCAAAATCTTCACTATATTCATTCATCAAGATATGATTAATATTAGTCATGAGAAAATTTGTAATCAACCAGTCCCAATAAACTCTTGACTACAAAAGAATAAAATAATAATACAAAAATTAAAAGAAAAACTTGAAGATCTGCCTTAGGGTCTTGATCTCTTCTCTCACCTAAAATAAAATAAATCATTATATTGAGGCATAGCCCAATAAGCAACAAAAACCAACCACTATATTCAATGACAGGTCTTAAGTATGGGTGTAAGTGAGCTGAGCTGGCTCGAGCTCGACTCATTAAAAAGCTCGTGAGCTGAGCTTATCAAAACATGAGCTCAAGCTCGAGCTCATTTATTAAACAAGCTCAAGTTCGAGTTTGATGCGGCTTGGCTTGTGAGCTCGCAAGCCGGCTCGTATAATATATTTATTCTTTTTTTTGTATTATTTGTATTATTATTTTTTAAAATTATGTATTTATTAAAACAACATGCAAAGAATTATAAAAAAAAAAAACTTTTACCTGTAAAGCTACAAAGTTTTGTCTTGGGAAAATATAGTTGAAAATCATTTAATAAAAATTGCAAGTTGTCACATCTCTTTTAATACCCAAAACAAAATTGTCTTTTCTTTTTATGTCAGTATGTGAGCGCAAGAATCCTCGCCTCAAAGATGAACCCAGGAGGAGGCTACTTGACAAGCCGACCTGCAAAGCGACGAGTCGAGTTCGAGCTCACCTTTTGATTTCGACTTAAGCTCGAGCTTGAGTTCGAGCCGATATAATTACTAACGAGCTGAGCTTGATAAGACCATCACTCGACTCGACTCGAACCGTTTACACCCCTAATCTTAAGAATCAATATTCATACTCAACTCAACCAATATTAAATTGATAATCATCAATATGAAATCAGAGATCGATAACAATATATTAAGAAATCAATATGATCAATAAAACAAAAGAAAATCAATAAGCATATGAATGTCAACATATAAGGAAATCAATAATAGTCTATAAAAAAAATATCAGGCGTCGTACATTAAAGCATACGTCAATTTTCTATCATTTATTTTTATGCCAATGATTCCATTATATGTGTCATGCATACGGTGAACCTATATGTTAGTATGCCCTATCAGTGTACTATATTAATATATCTATCAATATTTATAGGTGTATTTATCATATGGTAGGTCATGATGTATTAGTTTCAATACTAGCTTTATCATCTCTATCTATTAGATAATTCATGTGTTATTATATAAATTTAATCACAAATATAATTGCAAATAGCAAGGCAGGACATCCGACTTTAATGTGATTCACTCATCTATCACCCACGAGTCTTATTAATTATTCATTATATCATTATATCATCATTACATGTGGCTTTTAATAATTTATAAAAAATTGTCACTATATGCCAATCAGTGTAATTTAGTTAATCAATTACACGCTAATATTTAGGATCACATAAGAAACCTTTTATTTTAAGGAAAGTTTATCGGCTCACCCTCCTATGTAAGATATTATATTTCAAGAGCTAACATATCTTAATTTTAGTGTTAAGAGCTAGCCTTTCTTACTTATATGTAATTGCCACATTTATTTCATATCCGCCATGCCATTTTTATGCAATGTGATTCAAATGAAATGTACTAATCTAGGAAATATAGGAAATCTAAACGTTTTTTTATTTATTTTAAACAATCATAAATATTGCTTCACCCAATGAAATTTAATAATATTATAACAAAATGTTCATAAAATTTATGTCTATCATGTACAAAATGTTACACTATAAAAATATAGTAAATTAAGAGAAAATTTTATTTTTATCGATTTAGAAAATATTAAGTTTATCAAACTCAAAATCATTGAAAACTAAAGTGGGATTTGAGTTACCTATCATGAATAGAAGAAATCTCCAAATAAAACCGGCAAACAAAAATGATCCAAAACCCCTCTCCTTCTTCTCTCTCCTCCTTCCCTCTTCCTCTCGACCGTCCTTTCCTAGCTCGCCAAGCACAATGATAATGAGGGAGGAGGTGATGGCAGAGTGGAGAAATTATATTTAAAAACAAATTCAATGCTTAGCATAACGGAGCTCCAACTCGGCGTCGCAACACTATATGCTCATTCCAGATTAATGTAGAATAAAGAGTATCAGAGCCACCACGTCGAATTCCAGTGCCCTAGTGTTACTCCCCCCAAATCAAATATGTTTGAAATCACATGCCACAGTGCCACGGTTCAAAATTTTCAAAATTTCAAAATTTTAATTTTAAAATTATTTTCAAAATTTTTAGGTTGTTACAATCTATCCATCTCAAGAAAATGTTGCACTCGACATTTCAACGATTAATACAAATAAATTAATACTAAATGAATTCAATATAAAACAAAACCAAACTAGTTCAAAACTAAGTCAACTCATTAAATAAATCAATTTGATTCAAAATAAATTGACACGATGTTAATTCTATAATTGAAATATCTAAATAACTACTTATCACTAACATATCATTCAATTAATTATGAGTTCAATCAATCACATACACTTATGCATATCATTCAACATGTTATACAATACTAATTACTCAACTAAATGTATATGAGAGATCTACTAGTGGATCCTTCATGTACATTCCTACTATCCCGCTGAATTAAGCTGTAAACTTTAGCTCATGCTGATGCTAGTACTAGTGTAACAAAATGTGTGGGCTTTCTCTAACTTTTACTAACTTCTCTTTCATCAGTCTTATTC